TGGCCCGGGGGGGGGGGGGGGGTTCTAGGGAATCTCTGTTTAAGAAACAAGATCTCCCCGCATGATTTTAATCAGCAACCAGTGCTTTTGGAGAAACAACTAAGTTATGCTGAGTTGGTGCCCGTGAGAGCGCTGAGGGGGGTGGTAACTGGGGTCGGAGAAGGAGGGGAGGAAGGGGAGGGGGTGTAAGGGCCGAGCCGGTGTGTGGGACAAACGCAGGCGCCACAGCAGATTCCAGACCAAAGGGATGAGGGAGGCCAGCAGGAGACTGTGGCTTTCTGCCGTGAGAATTCCAGAACCAATCCATGGGAGGACGGCACCCACACAACTCCAGACCACAGGGAGCGTGGCCTGAGAGAGGGCTCGGAACGTTCCAGCAGCTCACGGAGGGGCCCAGCCCCCCAGGACCAGGTGCCTGCCCTTCCTCCCACACAAAAACACAACGTGCAATGCCTCCTTCCCTGTTCTGTGTTTTCAGTAGACAGTTTTGGCTTCAGGTCCGTCATCTGAGTTCTCAGGAACAATAATTTCTTTGAACCATCTTTACAGGAAGGTTGTACTTCTTGCCCCCCCCCCAATTCCCAAAGGTCTTTTTTCTTTTCTTTTATTTAAATTCAATTTAACATACGGTGTATTACTAGTTTCAGAGGTAGAGGTCGGTGATTCCTTCGTCTTAAATAACACCCAGTGCTCATTGAATCCCGTGCCCTCCTTACTGCCCATCCCCCGGTTAGCCCTCCCCCAACCCACTCCCCTCCAGCAGCCCTCAGTTTGTTTCCTATGATAAAGAGTCTCTTATGGTTTGTCTGCCTCTCTGACTTCGTCCTGTTTTATTTTTTCCTTTCTTCCCCGTGATCTTGTTTTATTTCTTAAATTCCACATATGAGTGATACTATATAGTCATATGATAATTGTCTTTCTCTGATTGACTTACTTCACTCAGCATAATAATATCCTCTAGTTCCATCCACGTCCCTGCAAACGGCAAGATTTCGTTTCCTCTGACAGCTGCGTAGTATTCCATTGTATATATGAACCACATCTTCTTTATCCATTCATCCGTTGATGGACATCTAGGCTCTTTCCATAGTTTGGCTATTTTAAATTTTCTTTAAAAAAAAAATTTCTTTTTTTAAGTAAGCTTCATGCCGGGATGCCTGAGTGGCTCAGTGGGTTAAGCGTCTGCCTTCGGCTCTGGTCATGATCCCAGGGTCCTGGGATCAAGTTCCACATCGGGCTCCTTGCTCAGCGGGAAGCCTGCTTCTCCTTCTCCCTCTGCCTGCCGCTCCCCTACTTGTGCTCTCTTTCTCTCTCTCTCTCTCTGACAAATAAATTAAAAAAATCTTAAAAAAAAAAAAAAAGTAGGCTTCATGCCTAGCACGGAGTCCAATGTGGGACTCGACTCATGACCCTGAGATCAGGACCTGAGCTGAGTTCAATAGTTGGACAGTCAACCAACCAGCAGAGCCACCCAGGCGCCCCTCCAGAAAGCCTTTTTCACTTAGAAGTCAGTGAGTCTAAGATGTGTGGCTACCACCCGCGCCCTCTCCCAGGTGGAGCGGAGGAAGAGAGAGCAGGTGTTTATGGGTCTGGGCACGGGTGTGGTGTGCGTGTAGCCCAGGCGTCTGGAGGCTTCCTCTCTGCTGCACTGCCCCCCACCGTGCTGGAGCAGCCATACCGCTGGGGGCTTGGTGGCAGAGCGTGGGGAAGGGGGGTCCTGAAGACCTGAAGCTGGTTAAGATCATCCCATTCCCCTTGGACACTTACCAGTCAGGGATGTGCTCTGAAGCCAGGCCTCTGCTGATCATCGAATGGCACTCCATGGTCCCGATGACTGCTTGGCCAGGACCACGCACGGGACTGAGCTGCCCCTGTGAGAGTGAAAGATTCTCAGCCCCTGGTGTGAATGAAGAAACAGCAGGCCCCGGAGCTTCCCGCAGCCATCTCACTTGGACTCGGCGTGATGCTGGCACAACTTCCTCTTACTACTGATGTCTGTCTGTGCAGACGATTTCCAGGATGACGGCTCACAAGGTCTCCCCTCTTTTGGTGCCAGGCCCTCCTCCCACCAAGACGTTAAATCTCTTCTTTTCCTCTCCTTGCATCTGGGTTAGCTTTGGAACCTACTTTTCCTGACAGAATGGGGCAGCAGGAGTGTCCCGTTTTGGGGCCATGCGGTGCCCACTTTGACCCTCTTGGGATCCAGCGGCCATTTAAGAAGCCGAGGCTAGACTCCTCTATGATGAGAAGCTGAGTGGAGAGACAGAGGCCAGTCTGCTCCCACTTCTTATCCCCCAAGCTGAGACACCGGACATGTGGCTGAAGCCTTGAAACCTTCCAGGTCCTGCGGAGTCCCCCACGAACAACCCCAGTCAACACCAGAAGGAGCAGAGGAGCCATTCCGCCAAACCAGAGTCCTGAGGAAGAAACACCTGCTGTTGAAGCTTTCGAGTTAGCAGCGGTTCCACGGAAATAAGTAACGGAGTCCCAGGGTGAGCTGGGTTTTAGTAAAGCCCTAACTGGTTTGGTTCCACGGGTTTTAAGTTATGGCGCTGACAGCTATGGTGGGATCAGTGCATGGCCAACGGTATGAGCAAGGCTCCAGACTTCCTCTCATCTTCCCGCGCTGCTGTCCCCACTGCGAGGATGGTCCTCGCGCTGCCTCCGGGTGCGGACTCGAGAAGGCAACCGGCACCTGCCATGGCAGCCCGACACACAGCCGGCAGGAAACGGGCGGTACTTCCCTTCATGTGCCTTTTTAAGAGTGAGGAAACATTTTTCCCCACAGCGGGATTCATTGGCTTAGACTTGTTTTAAACAAGTCGTGGGAAAGGACGGCTTACAGGAGCGCAGGTTTGGCGGGTTCCTGGACCACGATGGGTTTCCGCTGGCAAGGACAGTGGGGAGCGCCCGCGACAACATGAAATTAACATTCGCCCTTGACTGAAGTAGACACTCCTGGGAGACGGCCAGCCTTCGCCCAGCAAGCCTGCCCTCTGCTCCTGCACGCATACCCTTGCAACGGTGTGGTTGGTAAGGTAGAAGCCTAGTCAAAACCTGGCCCTAGCCATGAAGGGCCTGGCAGGAAGCGGGGGTCTTCTTGAGAGATTTGGGAGACAGTGTGACAGAGGGACCCATCTAGGGGTGCTGCTGCCCAGGGACCGCAGGAGCAGGAGGCCATGGAGGCCGGAGGAGACTATAGTTCTCGGAACCTGACCCAAGTTGACACAGTGGAAAAGGGAGGTCTCCAGGCACTGTCCTCACAGAGGGCCACAGCCACTGTGGACCCCAGGGGAGGCCAGGCCGGAGGGGAAGGACGTGCCCAGACCCTCCGGGTCTTCAGCTTGCCGCAGGTGGCCTGGTTGGTGAGGGGCCAGTGAGGATGACCATTAGCCTCCTGGGCTCAGAGCAGGACAGAGAAGGGCAGAGTGACTGGGATGAATGAGGAGAATCACCGTGTGAGCTGACCCCAAACTGGAGTGTTTTACTGAAGGAAGGTGATCCAGAGCCCAGGTCGTTGGTGGTCACTCTTCCCTCTAAGCGGACTCCTTTCTAGGCCAAAAAGCAGGTAACAGGGCTTCTCTTCCACCGCACCCCTCACATGGCCGGGGCACTGTCCCTCTGGGCTCTGCCACTCAGATGTCACGAGGCGACCTGGAGGCAGCAGGCAGAGAAGCTGCAGCAAAGCGCCTCACTTAGCACAGGCTGACTTCGAGCCTGAGTCAGTTCTCTGCTGGGAAGCCAGAAACAGCCCCCGGCGGGAGTGAAATCGTGGGGTCCCGGCTCTCAGGAGCAGCTCTGCCGGGTTCAGGGCCAGCAGCATGGAGCGCGGTGCCCCAGGGACCTGGAGGCCGGGGCCGGGCGTGGCCTCCCAGACTGGGCCTCCGGGTGGCCGCCCTGGACCGGGGCAGGAAGGAACGGGACCGGCGGGACCGGGGGAGGGCGGCCCAGCCCGGCTGCCCGCTGGTGCAACAGGTTCGAGAATGGTTCCACACCTCGCCCCAGCCAGAGCGCGATCTGGACAGCAAAGGCCAGGAGGCCAGGGCGCGGGAGGGCGCGGGTTTCGGAGAGGAAGGATCGCAGGCGGCGGAGCCGGGGCTCGCCCGCACCCCCGCGCAGCAAAGAGGAGCGCACCGGGCATTGCCCGAGGCACGAAACCGCTCCCACCTGCGGGGCAGGAGCCGCCGCGCGTGGGGACCGGTTGGGCCCCAGCGCGCCGCCCAGACCCGGGTAGTGGGTTTCTGCCCGACCCCACGGCGCCCTCCACGCCTCCGGCAACCTGGCGCCCGCCCTCCGGCCTTCCGGAGCGAGACCGAAGTTTCGGGCGGGAGTCGGGCCGGGGCGGACGCAGGCCGAGGCTCCTTCCCGCGGGGCGCACCGGGCCGCAGGCCAGGCCCCGGGAGGCGGAAGCAACAGGCAGTCGTCCCCGCCCCCCCGCCTCCAGCCCAGAGCCCTCAGTCCGTCCCCGCGCCGGGGCGGCGGGGCCCTGGGACGCGGAGGGCGGGCCCCGCGCGCGCGCGGTGAGCGAGGGCGGGCGTGGCGGGCAGGGGCGGGGGCGGCGGGCGCGGGGCGCATGCTCACTGGCGCCCGTGACGTGCGCGCCGGGCCCCGGCGGCCAGAGGCAGGGCTGAGGGGGGTGGCGGGCGGAGGGCAGGGGCGGGAGGGGCGGAGCCGGGGAGCGGAGCCCGGGAGAGGAGGAGCCAGGCGCAGAGGCGAGCAGAGGAGCGGCGAGCCGAGCAGCCGAGCGGACCGCCCGCACCTCCGCGCTCCCCGCCCGCAGCCCCTGCCGGCAGTCCGGGCCCCGAGCCGCCAACCCCTGCCGAGCGGCCACCCCCGCGGGCCGGGCCGGGCATGAGCGCGGAGGGGCCGCGGCCGCCCCCCGCAGTGCCCGGCGCGCCCAGGCCGTGACCGGGTCGGGGGCGCGCGGCCGCACTGGGGCGGGCCCATGGGCGCGCCGAGCCGGGCGCGGGGGCGCTGAGCGCGGGCGGGCGCGGCCGGAGGAGCCATGGACTGCGGCCGGGTGCGGACGCTCGTGCACCGATACGTGAGTCCGGCCCGCGGCGGGGGGGGGGGGGGGGGGGGGGGGGGGGGGGACGGGCCCCGGGGTCGGACCCGTTGCGCGCGCCCCCCCTGTGCGGCCGGCGGCCGGGGTCCCGGGGGCTTGCGCAGCTCGGGGCGCGGGCAGGGCGCCGGGGAGGCTCGCGGAGGGCGCACCTCGCGCGTGCGGCGGCGGGGCCCGGGCGCCCGTCCACCTGCTCCGGCCCGCGCGCCCCCCGCGACCCGTGGGGAAGGGGCTGCCCGGCGCGGGCTGCGAAGGGACGGGCGGGCGGGACGGCAGAGCGCGCTCGCGCGGAGAAGCTCCCCTTCGCCGGGTCCGTGTGACAGCGCCGAGGACCCGCAAGTGAAGTTTGGCACCGCTTGCCGGGAAGTGACCAATCGGAGCGGAGGCCGGGGCTGTGCGCGCCGTCTGGAGTCCGCGCTCGCGGGGCGCGGTGCGGGGCTCAGCTCGGGCTCGGAGGGCAAAGCGGGTGTTCCCGACCCCGGAGCGAGGGGACTGCGCGCGGCCGTGGCCCTGGCACCGGTGCCGGAGGGCGTGTGCGCCCGAGAGAAAGAGCGCTGTCCGGAGGGTGGTGTTTCCTGCCACCGGCTCCACAAAGGCGCCTTGTTCGCGGCCGACGTCGGTCCGCGGTCGCGCGCGGCTTGGACGAGCCGCCGGCCCGCGTGTGCGGGCATCACTGTGGGAACCGGGGGCTTTTTCCCGCGTAGGATTGTCTCGGACACACTTTCCTGTTTGTGAGCTCGCTGAGGAGGAGGCCCCGGCTCGGATCTTCGTGGGGTCTTCGTGGATGGCACCGCCAAGGTCCCGCCCCCCCGTGCTGACTCCCTGAGCAGAAGACTAGGGTCAGGGTGACTGTGCCCACCTTCCCCAGGTCCCGGCTCCCTGGGGCAGGTTAGGCGCCTGACCTTGCAGCGGAGAGAAGGGGTGGGGCAGGGCCGCCGGGTGAAAGCTCCGTGATTCCCCCGGAGTCCACCCTGTGGAGTGAATGTGTGTCAGAGGACACGTTTTTTCTGCAGGGTGGGAAGTTCTAGAAAGCCCCATCCCAGTGACCGTGGGTAGGAGAAACGCTTTGTCGGGCAGGGACGCTGTCTTCCCAGCTGCCCCTCGGCCGGTTATGCCCCTGCCTCTGTCCCCAAAGGGAAACGAGAACCGGTGCAGCTAGTTATTTAACCTGTGCCCAGGGTTCCGCAGTTAATTTCCGTTCCCTTCCAAGTCTTGATAAAAGGGAGGGTTGCGTGGCGAGGGGGACGTGCAGTCTGTGTCCAGGAGAGATGGAGAGAGGGTGGGCGGTCCTCTCTGACCCACGGTGTCCTCCGACCGGGCGGCTGCTCACTGCCCAGTGGGTCTGACCACCCCCCTGGTTCTGGACCCTTCGTCCCAGGAGTGGGGCAGACACATGCCTTTCCTCCAGGCCCTCAGCTGTTCCATGTCGTATTGGTTTATGTAAGTGTCTCGCGGTTGGTACGTTAACGGTCCCTTCGCTGTGTCATGAGGCTTACGAGGTGATGTTTTCTGTCAGACCGAAGTGGTAGCTGTTGCTTACGGAACTTTGCCAGGCGCGGACGCTGTCTGCTGCCGTTCCTGGAACACGGGCTATAGGTCACTCACTAGTATTCCTCTTCTCCATTCCACATTTTTTTTTTTTTCCAGTCTGGGCACTCGAGGGTTTCAGCGCAGTCGCATACAGAACCGTCCATTTCCATGATACTAAGCTGTTTGTGCTGTTGAGCTAATCTGAGTTTTTCCAGGAAGCGTCAGGTTCTGTCGGGGTTCGTCATCATGTAGGACCAAATTATATTATGTTTTTCTCGAAGGAGAGGCAGAGCCTGGAGCTGAGTACGTCCGTCGGTCGTCGTGGTTTCCCTTTGACTTTACGAGAACAAACAAGAGCTTGCCCCCGGTTCTCTGCCAGTGCTCACCCGCTGTGTTGCTGGGGCAGAGAAAACGTCTCAGCTCCTTCTGAGGTGTGAGCGTTGCCAGAAGGTAAAGGAGTCCTTGAGAGCATCGCTGAAGATATTTCAGTCTGGCAGACTCCAGAGAGAGAGAGAGAGAGAGAGAGAACAGGCGCATGGATGGGAGAAGTCTGTCGTGGTCCTACTGTGTAGACCGCGGAGCACATATTCCTGGTGCTGTGGACGGACGGAAGCCGTGCAGGGGTGAGCTGTGTGCACACGCGGCCGGTGCTTGTGTACCGTCAGGTGATTTATGGGTCACAAGGTAGTTGGACCCGTTTACAGATGCTTCTGACTTAACGAAGCAGATGGAGAGGTAGTTCTCTTTCCTCCTTATAGATGGGGGGGGCGCCTGGGTTCAGGGGGTTTCACTTCTGGGAGAAGCCTGTGCAGCCTCGCGGGTCCCCGCGGGCTCTGTGGGTGCCTGACTGGCCTGCGGGGGAAGCTGTGAGACTGTGGGCAGGCCCGCCTCTGTGGTCCCGTCCGAGACCAGCTATGGAGAGGCTCCCTGAGGGGTGCGGTGGGAGCTTGGAGCACGGCCCGGCTCTCAGGAGCTGCTCTGGTCACCGCGAGCCATTAGCACGAGTCAGTCCCCGGGTGGGGTGGCCCGGGCGCCCCACTCCTGAGCGCAGGCCAGGCCGCAGGCGGCGTCTGTCCATGTATGTGCTCACGCGTGCACATCCCAGGCTGGGATAACGGCGCTGGCAGGACACTGGCCTCCTCCTTCCCTTCCAGGCGGCCCGGTCGGGAGACCCGGCTTGGCAGGTCTGTGGGTCTGAACTCCATCTTGTTCCGTGTCTGTGGTTTGTGTCCGGTTGCTCCTGCTGCCATGCTGCCCCTACATTTCCACCTGTTTCTCACATTTTTTGCTTTCTAGAATTCTTACATTTGACACGGTAAACTTCTGGAAAATGCGCGGGCACTCCTTGCTAGGTGGGTCCTCTTTCTGGAACAAGCTGTGACATTAGGGCTTTCTTTGTCAGGGAAAAGTAAATATTTGGGGTCCCCGGGGAACTTTAAGCACAGCTGTCTTTGAGCGCTGTAACCGTTCTAGAAAGCCCCGCGGTCTCTGTGTCTGGGCCAGTCTGTGCTCCCGGGGAGGCGGCCTGTCCACGGGGCAGACGTTCCTTCCACTCGGTCCTTCCAGTCCCTGTAGGAGAACCAACGCTGCAGAGCTAGGAGCCCCTCCCCCAACCCTGCCTAACCCCACAGGGGAGGCTTCTCCCGCCGGGCTTGCAGGTGCAGGAGGCCGCGAGCCTGGCCTTGTGTGAGGCCTGGTCTGGCCGCGTGTGGACGGGAGCCAGCGCGCCACGCGCCGGTCCTCGGCCCCCGGGCTCCCGCACACTTGCAGGCAATCTGCCTGGTCTCTGTCTCCCCTCCGCACTCCGGCCCGGAGCGAACTCCCTGCTCTGCTCCCACGCGCCCCAGAGCAGCTCCGCTGCTGGCAGCAAGCCCCGTGGGATGCTGTTCTCCGAGCCGCAGGGCCGGCTTAACCACGGTGCGGACAAGCGGTTTCTGTGCCCGGTTTTGCTACAGTCTGTTGGGTTTCAGGGGGTGAGCGCGCCGCCTCCACTTGCGGTGGTGAGAACCGTGCTGGCTCTGCCTGCGAATGCCGCAGGAGGCCGCGGGCTACACCCTGAACGCAGACCGACCCGGCGCTCGGCCCGTGCTCCAGCAGAAACAGGCTTGATGAAAGACAGTTGGGGCCCTAAGACCCAGGCTCCTGAAAGCTTTTCTGACCGGGGCGAGTGTGGGCAGATGCCCTTGTCCGCGGGAGAGTCAGGGAGGCCAGCTCTGGCAGCGTTGGCGGTCTGGCCGCGCGAGCAAGGGTTGCCGCCGCTTTTGCTCGCCTGCCGGCACCGCGGGGACACGCAGTAGTGGCTGCTGGAGGTCAGAAGTCCCAGCTGCCTCCCCTCTGTGAGCCCCTGGTGCGCTGGCTGACAGCCTCGGCTTCTTGCGGGGGACTGGGGCGATGAGGGCTCCTCCCTGCACGGGCTCGCGTGTCCCGCTGGGAATGCCCACGGCCCCCGCTGCTCGCAGCCCCGCGCCGCTCAGGCCTTCAGACCCCCCGCGTCACGTGGACTGTCGAGACCTTGCCCTGGGCTTCCTGGAGGGAACATAGTCACCAGATAGGATGCCTCCTCCTCCAGGCGGCCCGCCTGCCCTGCCTCGTCTGCTCTCGTCTCCCTGTGGTTTGGGACCCCACGTCTCCTCCTTCCTCCCGGATCATCTGTGTCCCTCCTGAGACCCGGTGCCGGTGGCCGGCCCTGCTCATAGCCTGTTCTCAAGCTGCAGACTTTTCCCGATCCCGTTTCTCCGCCTCCTTCACAGCCGAACTTTGCCCTCGTGCCAACGTGTCTCTTCTCATACTTGCGGTGGGGGGGAGTTCATCACCATCTGCATCACCCTGGAGGCCCTTGGAGTCCTTCACATCCTCCCGGCACACACCCGCCAGTGCCTTGTGCGCACACCGATGCTTCTCAAGCCCAGCACAGCCAGGCCCAGTCCCCGGGGCGCTCCCTTTAGGTGGTTGTGGGGGCGGTGGCAGGCAGGAAGCCGAACACAGGAATACATGTGGGGCCGGGGCTGGCGGACCTGGCCGTGTCCAGGCAGAGGGGCCGCACGGCGGCCCCATGGCCTTCCCGCCTGCCGCTGGACCTTCTTGGTCCCCGCAGGGCTCTGCGCTGGCGCCCTCTCTTCTCCGGGCACACCTCTGCCCGGAGGAGCCCCAGGCACCCCGTCCACGACCACGCAGCCTCTCAGCTGCCCGCCACGCGCCTGGACCAGTTCCTGGCACAGGGTGGTCCCTCTGGAAACATCTGTCTGGGGGATTCCTCCTTGTGTGGGGGCTGGGAGAAGGGCGTGGCAGAATTCGCCCCGGATGCTTCGAAGGGAGCTTCCGGGGATCGCAAGTGATTGATGACAGCCTTAACACATGGCTCACGTGATTTCAGACTTCTGGATTCTCCTTCCTTGGTACATTAACCAGCATCATCGCCGTGTGGGAGCAGCAGACATTGGGCCCAACCCATC